GGAGGAAAGGTAAGACGAGGCCGGGGCGGGCGGGGGGGAGGGGAGGAGAAGAAGTGGAAGAAGTGGGAGAGGGCGGGAGTGGAAGCCCCATGGCGCTGGGATGGTCGGGTGGAACGAGGAGGATGGACGGCAAATGGGAGCGTGTGAATGTACCTGAGAAACCTGAGGGCCTTACCAGTCCGTGTTGGCGTCCGGGACCCGTTGGACCCGCCAGGGAGGGACGGGATGAGGGATGGCTCCAGCTCCGATGCCAGTGCGGCCATCCTACCCCCGTCGCCTTAGAGTAGTGGGAGCCCTGGCCCTCTCTTTGCCCTCCTCCTCGTCCCCCGTACTGGCACCGTACTTGGCCTTCCCCCCCGAGCACCCCCAGGACCACTTCGCAGACCCTGCCGGCCGCCCACCCGACAGCTCCCCAACGTTCGACTACTTGCCGTGCTCGCCGCGACGAGGGCTATCTGCTGACGGTTGAAGCGTCCATTTTGGCCCATTCTGCAATCATCTATGTTGGCGGATGCACCCTCCAAATTTTGTTTTCCGAGGGTAGGGGTCCGGCATGCACCACTTGGACCAGACAGGTTCCAGGCAGGGCGGCCGCTCTGGAGATGCCGCGCGATAGAGCGCGACTTTGATCTTGGATTCCACCACCGATCCCGCACAGGGTATCGATCCACGTGCACCGGTGTCCAAACTGCCTCCCTTTTCGCACATATATCGCTATAGACTACAAGGTTCTTGATTGAAAGTTAGTCATGACCTTCGACCAACAACGACAACGATAGAACCATCTTGGCGGCAAGGCCAGAAATGCGCCTGGGGCGCGTGTTGCGTCTGGCAGTGCATGACACTTGCTCCGCAGCAAAGTACCGCGCTAGCAGGCTCAGGGATCCCGTCTTGACCTCGACCCCTCGAACAGGACGGGACCACGGCCACCATTTTTCACCTCTATTCACTGGCCCCTCCCCCGATTGAGGTGCAGAAACTTCTTCGGCAACTCCTAGGAAGAGCTTTTTCAGCAATCCGTCTCAACAAGCCAGAGCCAGGTATATAGGACAGACTAAGAAGCACCAAGACGAGCCACGAGGTTACAATATGATATGAGATCGAAGATCCGTACTCACAGATCTGATATCGGATGGCAGATGCGCGCTCAGGGGCGAACAACTACCAAGGTACCTCGATGTTCAAACAACATACATATGTATCGAATTCCACCAAGCTACCAAGCCACCCCTGGATTGTTTCTAATCTGTTGCTTCTTCCATTTCGTGTATACATGTATATACCATCTCGGTCTTTAAGTCAACTGGGAGTGGTTGCACACGGTCCATCACATGTCTTATGCTTGGACATTTGTATGTAGTCTTCCCAAAGAGTACCGACCGACATGTACATACACGTAAATGAGGTGCCAAAAGGCCAAAAAAGAAACTGTGAACCTGAACCACTTGCCAGGGCCTTCCCGTTTGTTTGTGCAACCAAACAACTGATTTCGAGCCGGTCAATGGTCACCGCACACATCAACAACAGGGGCTGGCTGCCCCGGGCTAGGTCCAACACAGCACATCACCGAGCGAACCGCACTGCATCTCACAAGGGGTCCTGGGGATCTTTCTTGGCTCTCAAAGGAAGAAATCGGACAGAAGCTCACAAGACAAGAAAACACAGTTGCCTGCCGGATCGACCGGCGCAGGGATGTGGGGCAGGTAGGTACGTATTGATGTACACTACAAGTACACTCCGTACCGTCTCTCTTTCTCCAAATGGAATCTCAGCCTTGCAGAAAGCGACGTTCGTCTCGACGAATCGAAGAGCGCCAACGTTTTCAGAAGACAGCAGCAACCTTTTGGTCGAAACTCATCGGTCCATTGGGTGTCAATATGAAAACTCAAGGTCGTCTTAGTCAGCCGCATTTGCTTGGTCTTAAACCTCCTCATACCCATTTTGGGAGGCCAGACCTTGGCATTATACAATTCAATTGGCGGCTACACCCGTGTCTGTAATGTGCATACTATACCTGCCTACCTACGCAAGATTCACGGCACTGGGGGATAGGAAGTGACAAAAGATCGCCAGATAAGAGAAGAAAACAAGAAAAAAGAAAAACACTAAAAAGTAAACAAATAATACTGAATTTGATAGCTTGTTACGCAAAGAATTTACTCTGTAAAATGCACCACCATGAAGCCCAGCCAGCTACCGACGACTCCTATCGCCGAGTACGAGCTGGTAAACATCAACGGCAGAAACTCGTAGCTCTTGCCAAAGATGATACCATGCATCAGAGAGCAGTAAAAAATGAGGGGGATGCTGACTGTAATGTACGCCGTGCTGAAACGATCAAACAGGAACAGTCTTTGGCGGGTAGGTGCTGGAGCAAGACGGTCGAATGCCATCAAGAAGAGAACCAGCCAAAAGATGGTGTAGACCGTCTTGATTGGGAACTCGGCCGGCGTGAATATCAATGGGAAGAGCGACACATGGCCCGCCACAGCCAATGGTCTGAAAGCTCCCAGGTACCGTCGATCCTTGAGCGCAATGAGGCTAAAGGGGATGATGACCAGCAAAATAGCCTTCTCGTGGACGTGCCAGCCAAACAGAAATGAGGCGTACCCGCAGAGGGTGACTCCTCCGATGAAGCCCTCCCAGGTCGGCCTCATAAAGAGCTTGGTAAGGGGGATGGCCTGGAAAAGGAGCGTCAAGACGAAGCACATGCGAGGCGTGATGTTCGGCAACACCGCAAACGACGTGTCTCCGACGAGACCGCGGGTAACGCTGTTGAGCGCATCCGCCTTGATCGGTAGCCCAATCCTTGGCGCGAGGGAGATCAGGAGTCTGTCCATGAAGGAGTACAAAGCCCACACGTTGGGAGCCCAGTATGCGTGGCATAGACCTCGCGAGAAGGGGAACAGGCGACTGAAGATTTGCGGGATCTGATTCTTGAGCGCAAAAGGGCCAAAGGCAGCCGCGAAAATGGCTGCGATTCCGCCGCCCAGCTTGACGCAGTTGAGAAACTGAATCCTGAAGATGGACCTCGGTGACGACTTGGGTGGAAGGCAGTAAACCCTGAGAAGGTAAACGAAGTAGGCGGGTGCCAGGTAGAGATAGATGTGCTTCATGCACAGCAGGGCGGCAAAGACGAGACCACTAGCCAACAGAGACGACTTCTTCTTGGCCAGGACCAGAGAGGCGATCAGGATTCCGTACATGACGCCGTTGTACTGGAAATGAATGTGGTCGATGATGAGCAGACCGGGCGACAAGAGGATAGAGACAGCAGCGGCATGGGCTGCCCTCTTGGACACGCCAGGCGTGGAGTCAACAAACCTATTTAGCCTTTTGTTAGCACACGTACCAAGCTTCCAGACAAGATGCTTTTGTACATTTGTAGCGCATAGAGCAAGACCAGCTCCGTTACAATGACTGTCCATCTTTGAAAATAAATGGTTTGCCAGCTGTCGTACTCGAGGTTATGCACCCGAATCATGGCCGGATCGGCCAACCTGGCAACTCGCGACATGATCCATTCGAAGTAGGCGAAGAAGGGGGGATAGTCCAGGGTCCATTCCGACGTCTTTTCGTAGTACCAATCCCAGAGTGGGAGACTGTGAGTGATGGCCAGCCAGTTGCGATGAACCTCAAAGTCGGTGGATTTGCTGAGGAGGCAGACAGGATTGTGTCAGTGAAAGTAACCTCTACATGTGAGGTATGGCGATAGCTCCTATAAGGCGTGTCGCCGAATCATTGGGGATCGCCATTAGGGAAGTGCAGTGACGTGCCGGGGGAAAAAGGATGAAATGATGAAGGCGGCTGGAGAGACGTACTAAGCCGGGAACAAGAGGATCTTGAAAGCCGTAGCCACTATCGCGCATTGCACGAGAGAAGGATATATCTCAGCCATGTCTCCATGCCGTAATGGCCATGTGGATGTGTGTAGTGGTGAGATAGGAGACAAAGGTGATGAAATGGTGAGTATAAAGGAAGTACAGGGTGTTCAGTCTGTCCTGGTCTATCGCTTGTCGCAGTCTAGGGTTGGGTGTCGTCAAGGTCGGTTGCGTGTAATTTACGATTGGGGTCCGTTTTTAATTGTTTCATTGCCGCGGCCGTTCGTGAACCCTGACGGCCTGGCTAGGCTCTTTCCAGAACTCGGATTGAAGTTGCCTGCCGCAAGGGGCTCGGATGTCGGCATGGCACGTAACGAACTTCAGTTAAGCCACATTCCGTCACGGTTCCAACCAGCTTAAGACCATTAACAAGAATTCAGCCACACAAGTTGAAACTGAATGAAGCGAGCTTTTAGCCACAGGAGGCTCCCCGCAGACAGGCACGCGCTGGACGTGCGGAGAGGGAAATCCCTGTTGGTGAATCAAGCTCCTGCAGGGGAAGGTTCGGTGTTTTGAACTTTGTCGGTTTGAGAAAGCTGTCATTCCGAGATGGCACAGCCAGCAGCAGCAGCAGCACTTGAACGTTCTCGAAGGTCGCGCGAGTAATAGGCCCCTACGTCGAGTCTTTTCTGTACATTCCCTTTTTCTTTTGACTCTCTCAATCTCAAGCACCCGTCATCATCTCGTCTACATCTTTGTTGAATCTCTTCTGGAATTCGCTTGCCGCTTGCCGTCCTATCCTTCTGTACTAACACTAAAGTACCCGACCTGTCGACGTACGGGTATCCACACTTCACACACCTTGTTGACCTCTCCTTAGTCTTGGCCAGGCGGCTTCACCGAGAACCTAACTCCTGCAAAAGTGTAAAGTGTCCTCAACCAACGGAAAGCGGCTCTTCATTCTTTTCTCCCGTGACTTTTGCAAATAAGGTGACAAGCCGATATCAAAAGGTGTATCAATTTCTTTTCTTTCGGAATTAGGTGGCCTTCCGTTCGGATCGAGCATATCGCACCAACAGCTCTTCGGCCAGCCACCAAGGTTCGCACGACGACTGTCGATATCACCGTCGCACTACAGTTTGCACGATGCGCTTGTTGGTGGGCATTGTCGCCCTCGGCAGCGTCGCCGAGGCTGCCCAGTACCTTGTCAGTGACCTCAGTTTCGGGTTTGGCGCGAGGTACGTTCAACGTCAACTGCACACTGCAAACGAACTCCTGCTGCCAGCGCACATCAACTAACAGCTGCCCCCTCTTCGCCGCCTCAGGATAAACCCCGATGGCCGCAACACCATTCCAAACTACTCTATGCAGGGCAATCCCAATGTGCCCGAATTGCTCTCCAACAAGGTCATCTTGACCCCTCCCGCGCCCGGTAACCAGCGCGGTGCAGTCTGGGCCGACAAGCCTCTCGAGCACAGAGCCTGGACGACAGACATCGACTTCCGCGCTAATGGCCCTGAACGAGGCAGCGGCCTTCTCAACATCTGGCTTGCCAAGGATGGCGCCCGCAACATCGGTTCACAAAGCATCTACACGGTCGGCAAGTTTGAGGGTTTGGTGCTTGTTGTCAACCAGCACGGCGGATCGGCAGGCATGATCAGGGGCTTCCTGAACGACGGCACTCTCGACTACAGCAAGCGCGACAACGTCGACAACCTCGCCTTCGGCCACTGCTGGTTTGCCTACCGCAACTTGGGCCGTCCTTCGCAAATCAAGCTGCGCCACAACTCGCAGAACTTCAAGGTCGAAGTCGACGGCCGCCTGTGCTTCGAGAGCGACAAGATCCACATTCCCACCGGCTACAACTTTGGTCTTTCTGCCGCCTCCGCCGAGAACCCCGACTCGTTCGAGGTCTTCAAGGTTGTCGTTTTGTCCGAGGACGACATTGGTGCCGTTCCCAACCAGCAACAGCAGCAACAACAGCAACAGCAACAGCAGCAGCAGCAGTCAGGCGAGAACCAGAAGCCCCTTGGCGGCACGACCCACGGCCGGTCGGGCCAGGCGGCCATCCAGGACCCGTACGACAACGCAATCCCGGACGCCGAGGCCAACAGTATCACGTCGTCCAAGGCGCAGTTCGAGGACTTGCACACGCGCATTCAGTCCCTCAACCACCACCTCTCGTCCATCTTCCGGTCCGTGGCCCAGTACGGCGGCATCGCCGACCAGAACCATCAGGAGGTTTCGGTCATGCTGGGCGAGATGAAGGGGCTCCTGACCAAGCTCGACCGATTCGCATCCGTCGAGAACAAGCTCGAAAACTTGGAGCGCGAGGTGCGCAGCATGCGCTCCGAACTGACGGCCCGCCTCAAGGAGAGCGAGCATAGCATCAAGTACCATGTTACCGATAAGCACGAGGATTTGGCAGGTCATGTGGTCAAGCACGCGGCGCCAGGCCACACAAAGTTATATTTGGCGATCGTAGGCAGTCAGGTGGTGTTAGCCGCGGCGTACTTTCTTTATAAGAGAAGGAAGGCTGGTGGCCCTAAGAAGTACTTGTGAGGGGAACAAGTCTGACAAGGATCAGCCGGGAGAGCGAAGTGGAAGGTGTAGGAAGGTGGAAGTAGGAAAAGTGTCCAGGGGTCTGGCCCTCGTTGTTGTAAATAATAAATGGGCCTAAGTACCCCTCGAACTTCGTTGGATTTGGCTTTTTTTGCATGGCGTTGTTACTGCGTTTAGGTTTTGTGTTGTGGGTTGAGTGTAGATTCTCATAGCGTTGAATATTGCGGACGTCTCGAAATCTTCCATCATGCGTTGCATTTACTTGTCAAGTGTCTACGAAATTGGATAGTTACCGATGCAATCACTCGTCAGTAAAATTTGCTGTAATCAGTAGACGGCTTCAGATGCCTCTCCCTGATTATTTCCTACATTTCAGTGATATCCAGTCACACCTAGCAGTACGTTGAAACATGTGAAGTGAACTATTTTCCGAACCTACCAACATTTGTGTTTGCATCGTCAAAGCGGTGTGTCAGTGGTCAGCCTCCATCGACGGAGGAGTCAAACCTTAACAGCCCAGTATGGAGTATCTCCATGAAAAATGTAGCTTAACTTTGTTGTTGTCATATAGTCAAATCAAACTACATAAGGCGAAATTGAACAGGTTTCGTTTCGCAGAACCCGTTGGCTGGTTGGCTGCGTACCACATATGAATGACTAACTGTCCAAACAACCCAACATATTATGTGTCAAAGTTGGGATATATATATGAGGAATGAAAGTAGAAAGAGAGAGAAAGAGAGAAAGAGAACCAGAAAGGTAGGTGCCAGACCCAAGGTTCCTGACGAAGGGTTCACGCTACAAAGGTTCAAGATTGTTCTCCCCGACAAAGCAAAGATAGCCAAACCCTCTTTAGTTTTTGACACATTGACAGTGTTGACGATACCTGACTTATCCCTCCTCCAGTCGGTTCTTGCAAGTCGAAGAGGAAGATCATAACCGGAAGAATATAACTCTTGTTCTATCTTTCTACTTTTATCTCTATGCTCATCATATCGTCCATATCGGTCTAAATGATATGGTATAACTAACGTAATGAAAAAAAAGACCGATCCTTCACGACGCCTGACCGTTTCGTGCTTGCAACAGCCAATCCAACCAACACCACACATATGCCTGAAACATTCAGTCATACCGCTCCCGTGCAAGTCCTTCGCTTCACTCTTCGTTCTCTAATCCGGGGTATCTCAACTCAACAAATCCAACTCTTCCTTCTCCTTTCCATATTTCTTTCTCTCCCTACTCTTGGCACCTCCCCTTCCCAACACCAACTTCCTACCCGAACCTTCTGGGTTTCTTTCCCCTTCGAGGGCCCCCACCTCCTCTTCACCAATTGAAACTGCGACTGAAACTTCTAATCCCTCTCCGCTACCGCCGTCCCTTGCTCCGTCCTTTGCAACTCAACTCCATTATTCCCATCACTATTCCCATCTCCCTCGCCTTCACCCAAAGCCTCTACCGCTTCTGCCTCCCCTTCCACCCCACCTCTTCCAATCCCCTTCCTCCTCCCCCTCACCACGGCCTCCAACGCTCTCCCCACCGCCGTCAAATCCCCCAACATACTGACATGCCCCCGATCCGTACACACCCGTCCATCTTTGACCAGCTCATACCCCTCGGGTAACATGCTTTCGCGCGCCAGCACTACCCCATCACCGCTGGCAAACATCAGGTCGTCGTACGCATCCGTGCAGGCGATGGCGTCCCGACAGGTCACCCGGGCGGCGTATACGGTAGGTATGTCCTTGGCGTAGATCACGGCGAGCGGAGGGTAGGTGTTGCGATGCTGGTGTGAAGGGTTGTGGGCCAGTTCGGAGCGGAATTGTTTGGTTTCGCGCAGAGTACGGTCGAGGTAGCGGATGGCTTGGGAGTGGGAGGAGGGGGTGCCGTTGATTGGTGGTGCAGCTGGTTGTTGTTGGTTGTTTTCAGGGGTATCGGCGGCGGTTGAGGAAGAACCCATTTGCGGGGCAAGGGTGCGGTCTTTGAAGACGGTGTTGGAGGGTGAGAAGCTTGCGGTGATATGTTTGTTGTTGTTGTTGTTGTTGTTGTTGTTGTTGTTGTTGTTGTTGTTGTTGTTGTTGTTGTTGTTGTTGTTGTTGTTGTTGTTGTTGTTATTGTCGTCGTCCTCGCTAGTTCGGTTCTTCCCGCTGTTGCTGCGACCACGGAAAGGGAGGCTAGAGAGGTTGGGGAAGGAGTCGGATAGACTCAGAAGACTGCCGAGGGCGCCGGTGCTCTTGGACGGGTTCAGAGGCGGGAGGGCAGGTCCACCGGCACAAGGAGAGAGGCGGTATTTGATCCAATCGTCTACATTGTAGAAATCTACCGGATACTCTTCCTTGTTGTCCTTGGAAACAAAGCAGAAACCATCTTCAGGTAAGAAGATGAAACTGCTTCGGAATGAGAAATTAGACTGCGCTTTTAAGACAGTCTCATTGAAAAGAACTGCATCTCCATTGCGTAAAGGACTAATAGTAAAAATCTTAGTATAATCTTACACCCCTAAACGATTTCGCCAAACGTACCCCAATATGTTGATGCAACGGTTGGGAACTCCGGCGTATACGATCCCTGAATAAAGTTCTGGGCGCTGGTTGACGGCGTGCCGGGTGATAAGACCGCCGAGACTGTGCGCGATAACCCAGACGCCTCTTTGTTCGGGTGGCGTGTGAGGCTGGTTGGATGGAAGCTTTTCAATGAATTCGTTCAGCTTTTTCGAGAGACGATGGGGGCTTAATCGCCAGTCGTAGCCATAGTCATGGACTCTGAGTTTGCCATTTACAGAGTTCTCACACTCCCGGAGCTTCCTAAATAATTTTCTTGAAATATCAATGGGTCCAATATTCTGGAGCATGCCCGAGGCAAATATGTATTTCTCCATGTTCTCCTCATCCTCGGGCTCCAGGCCAACCTCCATGTTCACTTTGCGGATGTTCAAGCCTACCTTGACTGGCACCCATAACTGTCGATATGGGGGCTCAGCAGACCGAAGAATGGAGCCTCGATATCCTCCCATGACCACAATGTCTCCTGTTAGAGTTTCCAGAATCGCATCAAGAGGATGAATGGTCTCCCGTGACGGCCGGTGGCTACTTGGCCCTGGCGCCGAGCGTGTTCCATCTGTACCATGAAAGTCACTTGCCGAAGGAACCACTTTTTTCAATGGCGATGTGATACCTGCCTCCGTCAGTTTCCCGCGGCTTATGGCCATCAGTCGCGTAAATGACGTACTCTTTGGTAGTTGAGGGAGTTTGAATGACGGCTCAAAGCTGTCAATTATAGCTTTTATCCTGGTGTTGACCTGCTCACGAACATTGGCGAAGCGCTCATCATCTCCCAACGAGGAAACCCGAGTCAAAGATTGATACAAGAGGGAATCATCCGAGGTAGAGTGACGAAGGGTCGGGGTCCTTGAGGCTCTTAGAGATGATGACCGGACGGGACCTTGAGCCGTGGCTCCTCCTGGTGTGCTAAGGGGAGGCCCCGTTTGGGCTCGGTTCGACCGTATGCCAGCTATCGTGGACGATTTCGAAAGATGTGGCACTGACGGCCAAGTGGAAGTGGATTCTTTGTGGGAAGAAGAGCTGGAGGAAAAGAACGAGGGCGTGGGTAGCGATATGGATGGAAGAGCCTTGGACAATTTTTTAAGGGCATTCTCTCCGGCTGAAGCGGCACGAGATGATCTTGTCTCATTCCCAAACACGCCGAACATGGAGGAGGTTTTGGCGCCATGAGGCTGACCAACAATCATCTGCTTGGGCTCAGCCCGCCATGGTGTTGGAAGGTCCGGAAGGCGCGAGCTGGATGATTGACGAAAATGGCCACGTTTCTGTGGTTTCCTCGGGCTCATAGGTAGACTGGGATTACCAGATGTCTTTCCTGAAGACTGAGCCCTGCCTTCGTCATCCATGAAATCGAAAATACTAGGAAGATAGTCCATGGCAGCAGCCTTCTCAGCAGCCGGAGTGTTTGGCGAGGTCAGACGAGCTGCTCTTGCGCTGATGGCCGGCTGAATGAAGGACTGAGCACCGTCTTGGTCGTCGTAAATGAGGTTGTCTTCATTGTCGTCGGAATTTTGCGCGGCAGTGGTGGAGGGCTCGTCGGGCTGGGAAGGGGTTGAGCTTAAGACCTGGGGATCGGGGAGATCGAGCTTGAGGGGTACCGCTGAAGCTGAGGTAGATGGACCCGATGGGGATAGCGGGCATGCAGTCGACGTGGGAAGCGTAGAAGTTTGAGGCTGCGTGGGAGTGGGAGTGGGAGCTGTGCCGCCATTGACGGTGACGGGGGCAGCTTCGGCTTCCAATGGCGCCCCAGACGTCCCTAGCTCCATGCTCATGTTGACCATGGATGACTTGCACAAGAACCAGACAGTTGACTCGTCTACGTCCTGAAGAAAAAGTTTGGTGTTGGTCCGGGTGTTCCGGTCAGGGGAGAAATGTGTGGGCGACGGTCTCGAGAGATGGTGGGAGGTAGCGGCGGTAAGTGATCGGGTGGTCCCAGTTTATGCTGACACAGTCTGCATAGTTTAGGTGATGCAGACAGCTTTGCGTCTTGTATATTACGTTCCGCGTATAAATAAAGCGAAAATCAAAAAGAAAAGACAAGGTACATGAGGGTCTACCTAGGATGAGAAAAGAGCGAGGCATCGGTCAATAATAAAGTAGGTAAGCGGACGAGGGGGGCTTAGTCCAGTCAGATGTCAAGGCCTGCCTGGTGGTGACAATGATACCCTGACGCCTTGATCCATGAAAAGTCCACTTGGCTGTTGTTTTTTTTTTTTTTTTTTTTTTTTTTTTTTCAATCCAAAAGGACAAGTCGTGATCTCCACTCCGAGTCCCGTCGTCCGGTTCACTCAAACGGTCATCTCGACGACGGTGTTCATCTCACTGCTCGTGCTCGAGGGACGCACGGAGTTTCCATTAAACCCGATGAGACCAGTGAGAGAGAGAAAAAGACGGGACCAACGGCGGTAGCTTGCAGGGTCCGTCCCATCTTGAGGTTTGTGGGTCCATTCATCTGTCTTGGTGATCAGAGCCCGCTCCTGTCATGCACTTGCTCACTGCACCTGCCAACACTGCTGCTCCCTCCTACATGCCGTGGAGGTGTGTATGCATACATTTGTATTTGTGGTGTCATTTCCGCAGTATGCAGCACAGTATATGCCGTTGGCCTTTTCCACTTTCTCGTTTAACCGGCGGTTTCGAGGGTTCGTTGTTCGACTACATATCCATTTTGATGCTTGGGTCCATGCCTCTTCAGGCAATTGGGCCCGAGGGCTGAGGGATCACAATGTTCCACATCTGCCCTGCAATAAGGCAGCAAGTTTGCATGATTCCTTGCCATTTGATATTCTGCGAATCACCTCCCCACTGCTTCCCAACGCGTAAGGGAAGGCGCAAAAGGGATGCGGGAATAAGCCTCAATCTTGGCTTGCGCTTACGGTATCCCAGCTTCGTGATAGTTACCTAGCGGCAGTTGTAGTTCGTTCCTGTTCGGGCCCTTGATTCACCACTCAAAATCACCAAGATGTACTTCGTTTCGTTCTGACGTCATGGAGCTTCGGAGACATTGTGTGATCACAACTAAAGCTGATTTCGCCGTTGGCGGAGCGAAAGGAATTTCAACCGCCTACGCCGTTCGAGCACCATAGCCAATGCCGTACGTACGTGATAGATCTGAGATGCACGACAGACGGGATCCAAGAAAACCTGGGGAAGTTCCAGGTCTCGCCCAGGGGCCGAGATCCCTCTCGTCAATTCAAGCTTCTGCAGCACGTTTCTTGGCCTTGGTCTTACCAGGGCTGACACACATCAGACGAACTATGTCGACATATTTCCTATTAGGGCTGAAAACGTGCAATATCTCGGCAGTGCTGTGACGATCAGCCCGGTCCTCCTTTGCTTCACTGAATTGAGGCGAGTTGATGATTTGCACATGGGAGGAATCACTGACACTCAAAGAGCGAAAGCGGAAAGCTCCCACAATTTCAAGCCCCACCACTCCATCCAGCACCAGATAAGCTTGCCAAGGCCGCCTCGTCCGCCTGCAAGGTTGACGCGATGTCACCACACCGGAGGCTTGACAACCTCCTAGGCTCATCTAAAAAAAGCTTGGTGACGGACACCAGGCCGACGTCTTCCACCTGTGAATTCCAGAGTTGGGAAAACGAGTGTGAATGGATGACGGTACTAAGGAACCCACGGTGACTCGAACTTCGATCATCTTTCGGTCAGCTAGGCATCTGGATGAGATTCGATGTCGTCTTCTGTTGTGATGGCAAGGGGTCCCCAGAATATATGATCGTTCCCCCTCAAGTTGACAGCTGGACGACTGAGAAAGCGGAAGGGCGAATGGACGGTGTGAATTACCAGCTCATAGTGTAGCTCGCGGGCACGGGTGATAAGCACCGATGGATACCTATACATATTCCGCAGACCGCGACAGGTTCGTTCCGCCGAAGCGCAGACCTGAGGTGAGATTGGTTAGACAGATACCACTTGGTCATAAACTCCGGGTTGACTTCCCCAGCCCTTTTGTGCCTCATGGCTGGAATCAAACCGTGACGGTGACATCTCCGTACTTATGCTACTCGGGTGCTCAACCATTATAGAGTGATACGTAGCCTGGAGGTTTGCTGGCATTGAAGGGTCCACGAGCAGAAAGTCTGGGGACCAAAAGGCTTGGCCCAATGCACGTGATCCAGCACGCGTTTTCACCTAACAATGTCGGCTACACCTGCACCACTCCGCCAAGACTCCACCTCCATCGTCCACTCGCCTACCCGGGGACCCAGAACTGACCCATTCGACATCACGACCCTTCCCGGCGCAGTTCCACACCCAACTTAACTGAGTACCACAGACATCCCAGCACGTTAGCAACAGCGCAGCGGAACTCATTCAAAATGGCGGGCCTCGAGCATTATAGTTGGTTTTCCCTGCCCCATCTTCCCGATTGTCTTGCCGTGTGCAAGTGCGATTGTGATGCGACTGATCGCATTGCATCGCGTAGCAATAACCTCTGAATGTCGAAAGGGACCGAAATGCTGACCACTTTGCGATTTGTACAGAGCTGGCCCAGGACCCGGCGTTCGTTCGCCTGTCCAGTATGTAGCCCTGAACCGTTCCTTTCTTTCCTTGCGACTACTCCACTTCCGGTTTCCGTATCTACGAACGATGAAAGGTCCATGTCCACCATGCTGTGCTGTATATCATACCTCTACAAGCGCAAAACGTTGGGATACAAGCTTGGCTTTTGCTGGACGTACCAAACCACTCTATAGCCTTATATTATGGCTCCAAAAAAAGGAGGGAACACACTAGGGGAGTGGCTGTACAAGAATGGACGAGTCAAGTATCATTAACACCAATATGCCTTCTCACTAGACATGACCAACAACCGCTACAAGTACTTCCGTTGGACTCCCCGCACTGCCGGTATTACTTTCGCCTACATGGTTGTCGTTCCCGGTATTGTTGGGTACATTGCTTACAAGACTGATGTGAGTTGCGTTATCTATATGTCTAATTGACAGTGACACATATAGAATACATTAGGAGGGCGAGTTACTGACAAGAGACACACACATAGGGCAAGTACGACTTCCGCGCCAAGCGGAGAGGTGATGACATGCGGGAGTATTAAAGAGATCTTATGAGAGGAATCAAAAGGGCTTGCGAGGATATATACATGTGGTAGACTACTGGCCGCCGCTCGTAAAAGAGTCTGAGGGGATCACAGAACCCGAGGAGGCTGGGCCGCATGGAAACATAATATTTGAATCACTCCTCCAGATCGCTTGAGTTCTTGCGCGCATACATCCGGAATGGTGATACCGAGCCAACATCTCCTTTCTGCTCTTGATGCCGTTCTGGCGCATTAACTGCCATCGAATGATTTCTGTGTCCTCCTCTTCTTTTTTGGTAGTGATCTCAGGAATCCACCAAAAAAGGATACACCCTTGGTATCCAACATGCACCATGATAATTCTGGCCTCCACCAGCCCGTTGCCGTGGGAACTCCTTCTCCTCTTGCAACTCAAAGTCTCAAAACCCTCTCCTCCAATCCCCCTGTGGCATGATACCAGGCTCTCTCTGGCGATTAATCCGCCCGCCCCTACTTTCCCTCCGTCCTCCCCAGTCATACGAGTTTGATTCATACCGTCCGCCACCACCACCATTACCACCACGGTATCCCCTCGCCTTGGGGGGCTCATCACCGTATCGATCTCCCACCCCCATTCGATCTCTGTAACCTCCCTCTCTCTCTCTCGGCCCCGGCGGCGGCGGCGACGCAGCCGTGCTCCTCCCTTCCCCAATCCCAGATCCGCGGCCCGTCCTTGCCGCGCTCACCGGCTCGACCGCTCCGTCCAGGTCATTGGGTGGCAGGATCGCGCAAGAAATAAAATCGCCCGGCATAAACTTGGCGTCGGCTAGCGTCCTGTGGGCATCGTCGTAGCAAGGGTCGTCGTCGGGGAGCCCCGCATCCGCGTTGGCTCCGGGTAAGCCCGCGCCGATCACCACGCTTCCCAAATCTTTGGAGACGTGCCGAGAGGAGTCCTTGCGCGTGTCGACGTAGATGAGCCGGAAGACGAGGCGCGTGCCGATTGCTGGGTGGGGAAGTAAAGAATGGGGTGACTGCTCGTTGGCGATGTCGAGACTTAGTTCGTCTAGGGTGGTTGAGCGCCAGGCGGGGATTTCGACGTAGAGGGGGAGGTGCGAGTCTGAGGTGAATTCGTTCATTCTAATAGAGTGTGTCAGTTTGGTGCCTGGGGAGACATAAGGGGGATACAGATGAAACTATACCGATGAAACGCGCCGGTGCGGTAGTAGAGCCTGACAATGAACGGCGGTTCTCTTGTGACTGGAGTAGCTGGGTCGTCTGACCGAGCTTGATCCATGATGGCAGTGAGTTATCGATCAATATAATGCTTTTCTCGGTTTGTGCGATGCGATGTGCAATAGCCCGTGAATGGTTTCTGAAGCAATGATGGAAGATTGATGAAGATGCTTAATTGTTCACGGCATAGAGTAGAGGTTTAAGTTTGGTGCTTCTAACTCGATGCAGTCTATGACCGGAATACAAAATATGGTATGACGTTGTGTCCCCAGGCATTCTCATACATCATATTCGAAGATATGAAGTGCAGATGCGGCTCACAGTGATGCGGGATTGTGGGAGCTCTAGCTTCCATTCAGGAGCCCTCTCCCCCCTCCCCTCGTCTGCGCCGCGATCCGACCCGTGGACATCGGACAGGTGGGGGGTCCAAGTGTACCCGGGCCGGTTCTTTTGACGCCGGGAATCGGCAGGCGCAGTTCACACAAGTTCACATGCCCGCTGGGGCTGAAAGATCGCTGGCAGGAGCTGACTGGTTCCTTGCGCTAGCGTATAGCGGCTCAAGGCTGGTTCCACGGTCAGGTCCCACTGCTCCGAAAAGTTTAATGGAGTCGCACCCGAGCTCCAGTGCAACGTCCGCCCGTAACTTGAAGCTTGCCTCAACCACCTAGGTATTTCACCACAACATCACGGCAGATCATCAGAACCTACCATCAGAAGCCTAGCAGAGTACCCACCCCCATTTCGACACGGCTATCACAACGCAAATCCATCTCGACCGCCTGACAAAAGAAACAGATTTCCGTATTGATTATCAAGAGGAGGGGAAAGAACACCCCCAAGCAACACCGCGACAATGGACTTCGCCGCCCTCATGTCCAAAGAGATCGCCAAGGCAAAAGGCACCACCAGCAACACCACCACCTCCAGCAAACCAACACCATCAACCATCACCACAACAAAGGATACTAACACCAAACCCGACTCAATAGCCGTAGGAGTCGGAGCCGGAGGAGAGGGTGCCGCCGCCGCCACCGCCGCCCCGAAATTCATCTCCCGCCGCGAAGCCGAAGCCCAACGTCAGGCCGCCTACCTAGCCGAGCAAAAGCGACTCGAGGAAGAACGCGCCGCCAAAGCCGCGTTGAAGCGCAAGCGCGAAGAAGACGCCATACAAGAAGCCAAAGCGCGCGAGGAGAAGAAACGTCGACTAGCCGAGGAATCACGCGCCCGCCGCCTAGCCAAAGAAGCCGAAGAAGAGCGCGCCCGCCGCAAGCGTCTCGGTCTTCCCGAGCTACCTCCCACCCCTTCCGAATCCGCTGATAAACAAGGGACGCCCGCCTCCGGCATCGACGATTTCGACCTCGACGACGACGACGACGATGACAAAGCCCATGATCTGCCCGACGACGAATTAACCTCCAAACTCCGCGCCCTAGGCGAACCCGCCTTTCTCTTCGGCGAATCGCACCTCTCCCGCCTGCGACGCTATCGCAAGGCCGCCGGCCTCGGCGCTTTGGGATTGCCCATGGGCCCCATCACCACCTCCTTGCTCCCCGTCGCCGAAAAGGACATGAAAGTCCCTGCCTCCTCCGCCGAAATCCCTCCTGCCACCGACCGCAAAGCGCGCCGCTACCTGTTCCGTCAACTAGCTTCTTACTTTAACATGGTCCTCCGCGAATGGGAACTCGCTCTGGTCAAGGAAGACAACGCGGACACGTTTGCGGGGCAAGCGGCGCGGAACGCCATGGTGCAGTCGAAAGAAACCATGCGCCCTCTTTTCCGCAAGTTTGAAAAGGGGGATCTGGAGAAAGATATTTTGGAGGCGATTGTGGAGATTGTAAGGGCAGCGCAGGAGAGGAGGTATGTGGATGCCAATGATGGGTATCTGAGGTTGAGTATCGGTAAGGCGGCGTGGCCGATTGGTGTGACGATGGTGGGTATTCATGAGAGAAGTGCTAGAGAGAAGCTGCATGATGGAGAGAGGGGACATATCATGGGTGGAGAGGTGACGAGGAAATATTTGCAGAGTATCAAGCGGTGTTTGACATTTGCGCAGGTGAGGTGGCCGCCGGAGGATATTAGGCAGTTGATGGGTTAGTCTAGTGGGGGAGCAAGATTTGAAGAATTGCCATATTCGATCAGGGGAGGGGGAGGAGAAGGAAGGGGAGGTGAAGAAGAAAACAGTGGCCGTGATACCCATATTGATTTTGGAGACGATAATTGGACCAAGTCTGACACTCAGAGCTCGGGAAAACAAACCCCGGGCATGAAATTGTATCTTCAGCTTGGAGTAAATGTTGTTCATTGATTGTGTGAACCTAGAATAATCATGAAGGCTTTCAAGCTACGTCCCTCTGTTCGTGAACGTCAGTAGCATAATAATGTAGGAAAAATCCCCGGTCAAGTTATACCGCCCGGAACACCAGACCGTCCAAATATTCGTTCCTTCATGACTTATCATTGCGACTGATCTTAGGCAGCGTTTCATCTTTTTTCCTTTCCCAACCAAGAATACTGTTCACGGCTCCAGCGAACCTTATTCCTGCCTGATACTAAGGGAATCCCTAGATAGGTTCTGACGGCCTCGTTATTGAGATCGGGTTCCTAGGCCAAGCTCGCAGTGTCATCCGTGGTCATGCTGAACAAAATGTCGTTCATCCCTCCAGGCTTGCGAGAACCTTTAACTTCAAGATCGGCAGCCATGATGTTCATGCGCCGGATTCTGTCAAGGGCTTGTTTCTCGTAATTCTCCAAGGTCTGGAGTGCCTTTGACTGCATTTGCTGTCTAGAGTCTGTGGAAATTGGGGTGATAGACTTTGTTGTTGTACGAAAAAAAGTCTGGTCAGCATAAAAAACAGCACTGCACTGGAGAAATAGAGGTAGGTAGTAACATACCTTGTTGATGGCATCGATCCGAGCGTTCAGCTTCCCGTCTTTGATCATGGTAAACAGCTCGTCCTCAATCGAGGGGCCCGGTCCGTTAAAGGCCTTCTGCATTGTGTCCAGCCTCACGCAGGAGAAGGGTTTAAGGTACTGGACGATGGACTTGGTGCGGATGTCGGCGTACAGCTTGGGCACGTGCTTTTGCAGGTAAATATCGAGGAGGTAGTCTGGTCGATATGACTCCAGTATCTCTATGCACGCCGCATACCTGCCGTTCACAAATTGTGTGATCGCCCGGCGTATATGTGGTTCTCGTTGCAAAAACTCGCGGAAAGAGTCATTGTCCAAAAGGTTGGCCTGCAGCTCGTGCCTATCCATAGTGGCAAGCGCCAACAGACCGCCGTAGATGGCAACGTCGTTCGGGCTGGCAATCTGGTTGTAAATCTCGGGAGGCACGCCGGAGCTGGCTTCGACAAAGCAAAACGCCGCCTCCTTGTAGCGTTCCTGACCTAGCGCCGCGATGCCATTCGCAATCTTGCTGTACGTTTTGAGGGCTTTGGCTTTCGGGTCTGAGTCGTTTACCGAATTGAGGGGCTTCAGGTGATTGCCGATGGATTTCCAGTCGCGGCGTTCAATCGCCACTCGGACAAGGAGCTTCCCAAGGTCGACAAGCTGTTCTGTCGAGCTAACATCCGTCCTCATCTTCCAAAAGCTATCCATGGCAGCCTCGACATCGCCGATAGCTTCAAAGTGCTTCCCTAGATCCTCATTGCCCATCTGTAAGAAAAAATCGCAACAGTGCATCAGCTTAGTATCGTGGTTCTCACTCTTGTCCGGTGGCACACGAAGAACATACCCTGATGCTTTCTTTGATCAAGTTATTCTTGTAACCTTGAAGCTCGGCTTGTAGATGAGCCGTAGTGTCTCGATTCTCCTTTTCCTTGGATTCCATCCATGCCTTATCCAACAAGGCTTCGGGCTCGTTGGGAGCTGCTTGGAAGAGGGAGTTGACTGCCATTTGGTACCTAAGAATGTCGCTGCCAGCCTTGGCCTCCTGTACAGCAGCTTTGAGTGCATCGACACATAGCGGTACCGAGCTCCTGCCAATATGGAAAAGACGTTCGAACCGTGTACGTCCTGGATACTTCAAGTCAGATATGAATATGTACGCCTGTGCTTTGGGGAGGAATGTATACCTTTGTAATTCTGGATGTAAAGATCAAGGTCGAATTTTGGTGTCTCTGCAAACAGAACAAACAATTAGCACAGGTGATCACAAAGACTCGGCAAGTATGACTTAAAGCTGAGAAAAGAGGATGATATCTGAAAACAAGGGTGTATGCTGGAAGAGGGATGCTGTGAAAATTACCTTTGACGATGACGCCGCCTTGATCCTCAATAGCCGTGAAGAAGGCTAATTTGCGGTCGTCCATGTTGCTAGATTCGGCCGTGAAGCTAGACGTGTTGTTGATATGATATAAGCTAAGCAACCAAAACAATCCAGTAAATGATTGCTGCCGTTATGCTGTCGCTGCAGTGTAGGGTAGTGGTCGTGAAGCTATCACTCAGTCGTGGCTGATGGAGGGACAAGGGTACCGTGTAGGTTAGGTTGCCTGCGGTGGAGTGGCTTGGTGATGTGAACACAAGTGGAAGCTGAACGAGGTGGGATGCAGGGATGGTGGGGGTCGTTCAACCGATGTCCAGGGGCATGGCCCGGCAGGCACGACAGGGCGGGGTAGCTGGCTTGCAATGTGGGGCCGATAATCCTGTCCCACAGGCACGGAATTTGCTCCTTCACTGCAGCACCCCCTTCCCAACAGGGTTGAGGTACAGATACCGTACTTATAAATCTCGGGAAATTGAAGTTCGGTGTCATGCAGAAGACGCAGCCTGAGGTTTGAAGCTGAGGTTTGCCAGATGCGTTCTGGCTGTCGAAGAGCATCTACGTAGTTGTTGCGGCACCTCAGCTTTAATTTTACCTCTACATTCCCCAATCTCAAAATTCAGAAACCAAATGGTACTTTCAGGTTCCTTCGCCAGAAGAAACTTCCGTCACTCCAGTTCAAATTGCAACGAAACCTCAAACGACTTGTAGAGAACGGAAGTCAACCTTCACTACTAGTACATAACTTTGGCGAGCCGCATCCACTACCCACTACAACATATTGACTTGCCCGATAAGGTCCCAAGACGCTTCACATACCCTTGAATTATGCGTTTGCGTTGATGCCTTCGGATGCGCGACATGAGTTGAGGGCTACTGTTCACTGCCGAAGCTGGACGACAATCTTGGTTCCCGTGGCCGTCTTTTACTGCTGTCGAGGATCCCCAAGATGTATCAAGTCCGTTGAAGGACAACTAGATACTTGAATGTCGGTGCTTGTTCAAATTGATAACGTGGAGTTGCAGGTTGTCCCCCGAGACAAAGTCCATCAGTCAAGTTTACCTACACTGTACCCCGTAGGTGTGTGCCGTCGTGATAGCCTAGTTGCTGTGTAGTGCAAACATCGCAGGCATTCCGATCGGAACCTTTCCGTGAGACTACCAAGTCAACTACCAGGGCTCGAGTAGTGTAGTAACGTCAGAGAGGATGGTCGTCCCCGTTCTCTTCTCAGCAAATTGCCGTCAGATCACGTTTTGATACCACGATGCTGAAGATCGTCATCCCATTTGACCCTGTGTCTTGGAAGCTCGATCCTCGCGGCTTGGATCTTGGCGTTCAATGGTGTTTCGGTTTAGTTTAGACCGAATAGGGGCATCTTATCCATACTCTGGCGGTGGAACCATGCTCACCATGCTAATGCGGCGAAACTGTCGGCAAATATCATGGCCATGATGGAGTAATGTACATGACAAAGAGTTCATTGTATCAGTATGGGATGCGGCGAAGGATGAAAAATTCAACCGACATATGTTCCCCGACATCGTCAACAGAAATTCCTACCTAGTGCAAGCCGACGCACTGGGAGATCCAGTCACGATAACATATCTCCAGGCGAGCCAAGCCATACGAACCACGCATTTACAGCGTGGATATGTACAAAGCATTGTACGACGATGTGGTCTCCTAGTCAGTGCTAGTGCTGCACCGTTCCCCGGCACTAATCTGCCCAGCTAGTCATTCATTCCCCTGTGCTTTTCTGAGGTCTGGACAGAGCATGTCTCGGTCGAGTTTGAAGTCTTTTGGACTGAGAAGGCACAAAATATGGGCAAGGAACGGAACAAACTGAGGTTTGCAAGCGCGGTAGACCTGCCACTCCCGTAGTATGAGTGAGGGAAGCAGAAGCTTGTCGTTGTCTGCTTAGTTGTCAAGGTCTTGCGAAGGCGTTTATGGTAAGGTTTACCCAAGAGTCCACCACCTCTGCCATCCCACCCTCACTAGATCGAATGCTAAAACATGAGTGAGACTAATCGCGAATAGGCCGTTTTGTGGTTTGTGGTTTGCACATCGTGAAACAAACCAGATCCAAATGCCTGCGCAGATACGACACCTTTGTATTTTTGATTTTTGTGATACGGGTCGATACGCAGAAGGTGTCCTGGAGATGCAGTGGACGGAAAGAGAAAGTGTCCTTGTGCGCATCTACAGATAGCGGAATAGCCTGCTACATTGCCAAGGGAAGCTAAGCGTGCGTTCTCGTATATGAACTCATGAAGCTCAATGGTGTCATGTCTTTTGGTCTTTGGAACCGGGCGCTGTCACTGAAGCGCTTGACATTTTCGGTAGGGAGTAAAAAGATACCTACGGGGGATCGAGGGGCGGAAAAGTGCGTGTGGGCTGGTTGGTGAGCGAGGTGGGATGCGGCGGAAGCTTGACCGTAAAGGTACGGAAACCCAATGCTTCCGGTGTAATCCCGTCAGAAACCGACTCTGAAGGTCCCTTCGCTACCGATTCGGCGATGACGGAGGAGGGAGGTCTCGCAAGGCTGACTTGCCCTGTGGGGAGTCAAGGAGTCCAAGCAAGCCCGCCGACAGCTTATCGATCGTACAATATAATGCTGGTTTGTCCGTTAGTTTGATACTTCGATTGTGGGTTGAACAGGGGAAGTTTTGGAGCTCTCATTGGCCTTGCAAGAGAGAACCTGTTCTTCGTTTACATAAAGCGATATGGGACAATGGCAAGGGTATGTGACGCCACAGAAGCCTCTGATGGGTGTCCCTCTGAGCCCTCTCTACCTCGTTGAAGGCCCTTGGGACCGGAAGATAGGCCTTGAAGATCAAAATACCCGATAGTTAAGCTTTGGCTCTGTTGTATCAGATGAGGGCACATTTGTGCACATCCACATGTATCCATACACTACACCAGTCGTTATGTTGTGTGACCGGTCATAGCTGCCTGACTACAAACATGCTGATGGATCGGTTGAATGGAGTCATGGAGCTGCGTGATTTTAGCAAGTCGCGATAGTTTCTTGGCCTTCCACTTGCTGGATGGAGAAGGGGAAAACTCACCCCCTGGGATGCATGGAAGTCGCAGAAAAGGGGTAAAAGATTTCTAACGTAGCATGCTATGTACGTACCGCCCCCTGTGTGTAGTGTACATGCTTCCACGTAAGGTACCCAGTAAGATGTTTGGAAGAGGCTGATATTGAGAGGAGGGGGAGAAGAAGATCTTGTTTTGTGATATAGCTGCCTACGCCTAATATCTCTTGGTATTGAAGGGCTCCAATCGATCTGTACCGTACCATGTCCGAGTTCATCGCTGAATGACTCTTGGGCGGCTCGTATCAAGCAATGAGATTCTGGTTAGTTCCCATGACGAGATTGGATGTAAGCTTCCCTTTGCTGCTGAGGTCCTCCGAGGTACCTGTACATACTTGCCGAGGCTACCTCGTATCACGCCCGCAACTCTCCTTTTTCTCAGCCAAAAAAGGCTCGGTTTGACGTTGAATTTGCGGTGTTCCTGGTTGCGGCTATGTATGTGTGAATGCTTGCGCCCAAGATTCAAGGGATATCTCTGCTCTGGCACAAGCCAAGCAAGCGTCTTGCTGGCAGAATGGGAAACGTGGAAACATCAAAAAGGCGAAGGTGGGAATTGTGATTGGCCGTGTGTTCAGATCCGAAAGGGAAAGCCGCCAAATGGATATGGGCTGATTTTTACGTTGGCAAGGACGGGGCCTACCTACTGCGTGGCAGAGGTGCTGCATAGTAGTACGTCAGCCAAGCGGTTAGCGCCAAATGGCTGCAAAACGATGTTCGGATCCCTGTTGGTCCCTTGTGTCTTGCCTATTATGTACAGTACAACCGTCCCGTCCCAAAACCGATTTCGCTGTTCACAGCGCCTGCCATCAACCCCCGAGCCCCCCCAAATCCAGCCAATTCCACTTTTCCTGCAACGAGCGAATCTGGCGGCTCTTTTCTCAGTCAGCCAATTTGTTCAGTTTGCGTCTTGATGTAACGAAGTGTGGTGACCGGTGTTCCAGGAATGCTTGACCTTTCTGCGCCATCTCTTCTTGGCTTCCATTCCGGCGGGGGGGTTGAAGTCAAAGTGACCTGACCGATCTCTGACCGACGGTGGAAGCGCACCTCTGAGAAGCAAAAACGAGGGTCTGCCTGACAATTGGACTCGAGGCTCGGATGCTGACGGATCAACCCCCCAAAACTGGCGCGCGGCTCTTGGAAAAGGTATTCTACACTACTACTATGACACTACTGTAGTGGTCTCGCACATGACGATTCCTCAGTCATCAGTCATCACAACGAAGTGGAAAATCGCCAGAAATCTTACTCGCACGGCGTGGCAGATGGAGACGCGGAAAGTTCTTTTTTTCACACGAAAATCTTCTTTTCTCCAGTCCTGAGCGGGCACCTCCTGGCTTTCCACCTGGTCGCAAATTTTCGAAAATGTGAATGCTGGTCGCAGCACCGGTGCATCAGGTCAAGACAGACTCCAGTCCACCGCCTCGGGACCCTCATTCGCCGACTGCTTCTGCGAATGGCGCTCAACCCGAGTCCTAGGCGTGCCACGGTGGACCCGGGGCCGCTCGGCGTCGATGCCCTTCGCAAGTACCTGCCGGATCCAGCAGGCTTCCGTGCTCTTCGATCCAGCGCATCTAGCACCGGGACCGGGTCTTACCGGGTTTCCAAAGCTCTGCTTCGCAATACTGTACGATCTGGTACTAGGTATCTATCGATGTAGTGCTGGGTCGATTGTTGAGTTGGTACCTACAATTACCTAGGTTCTCACTCCTAGCACACGGGACGAGATGTATTCCAAATTCTTCTAAACCTTTCAGGGACTGAACAAAGGCTAGATATGACAGGGTCCGAAAGGCATTGACAAGATCCAAAATACCTAAGCAGGATCAGAGAGTGAAAACGCCTAGGGAGGTTGCCCAAGGTTTCAAGCTAACAATCAAACCAGTATTGGACTGTAGTGTAAGCCGCGTTGGGGAGGACCTTCGCAAGGGCAGTTTCCCTTTTGGGGGGGCTTCTCGAATTGTTTCTGACTGCGTTTGGAAAATCGAGGACAATCGCGTATGCACAGTGCATGCACCTTGCAACGATAACATGCGTGCTGGAGACGCTGATGGGGGCAACGGGGGTTGTGCATTGCGGAGGAAGGTTTTGCTCTTGGTCAGTCTTGACCAACCTCGTCCATGATCGGCCGTGGGTTTGCAGGTAGACATCCTCAGGCGTAGGTCTACGCGGGCAGTATGGGCCGTGGAAGCCAAGATGGAACGGAGCAGGTTCCATTGCCTCGAAATGCTACAGTCAGAGCACTGTATCATTATATGTGACTACTCATGTAACGTGTAAATGGCAATGTGAGTGGTAAAAGTGGTGATGTGTACAGGCAGAGGTAGGTAGGTCTAGGTAAGCGTACACGACATGCCTCCGGTCTCTGGGAGGGTGCTACCTACCTGTGATGGGCGGATGAGTGCCAAATTTTTTAAGATTCCGCGGCCTCTGAATGGATCACTTGGACCACTGACGACTTCCACCCATTTGGAGACGAACATCCATAGACCAGGTACATCCACCACGGGACGCTACCTTGCCTCTTGCAGCAGCATTTTTTGACCTTTGCATCCACCAGCAACTGGAAAACCACTCGTGACATTCCTCAACACGCATGAGGGGCTTGGCATGCTATACAGTTGGCCCGAGACAAATTGTGTCTGTTCCCAAGCTATGCACTTGCTTCGTTTATTAGTAACGCTAAGGTAAGTAAACCGTCTGGAGGTATTGGTGCGGTTGTTGGCAGGCGTTGACTATGTCTAGGTATCAAAATTCAAGATCATGCGCCAAGGCTGTGTATCTGTCTGTCTGTGATACACAGATTAAACCTTGGGCCCTCGTCTGAATGATTACGTCGTTCCCTTTTTTGGGGTCAATTTGGAGTCCGCTATCTTCCATCCGGGGGAAACTCATAGATCGGACCGACATGGACAGGACCCCTCTTTAAACCCTCGTCGTCAGATGTGTGTCGCAACAGGCCCGGGCGATTCGTGACGTCCTGACATAGATGCTATAATCTATTGGCCCCACGATGCGGTGGGAGCTTCGACAAGGACCTTCTAGCATCAAATTTGGAACCATATTCATTTTCTGATCCTCCAAGTCCACTCCCATACCTCCTCTCACGCCGGCGGCTTCCGCAGTCGTGCACATAGTACGTACATGGCAGGTAGCAAGTGGTCAGTGACAGACCAGGGCAAGCCGAAGCAAGGTAGCGTTGCCCTGTGTCCCAACAGCTTGGAGACCTGGTCCCCGTCTGGCTCCTCATTCATGTTGGTTTTTGCGTTGATTTAGATAGCGGTGAACCTCAACTTGGCCGCTGACCTTCGCCCATCTACCTGTACTGTTGAAACAAATGTCTAACGACAACAGCAAACCCCTTCCCTTCCGCCCACTTACCGGTACAGTACAAGCACATCCCTTCCGATCGTTCAAAAGACCCTTCGTTCTCTTCCTACCCAATTTCTTCCCCCCCTACCCTGCAGCACCAGGTCGGTACCACTAGCCTCACGGTACCTCTACCTACCTACACTTGCTTCCCTTCTCCTGTGCTCAACCACACCCATCTGTTCCTAATGACCCCCTTAAGCTAACGCTGTCCACTTAGCAGATACTGTACTGTGTACTGCGGATGGTCGCTTGGATGGCGTGCAACACATGCAAAGACAAATAGACCTTACTCAACCCCTGGTTACAAACACAAAGCAGAAAAAAAAAAAAAAAGCATGTGTACCCCGTCTCATATCCACACAGTACCTAGTATACATCGAGCATTTATTTGACCTCCTGAGAAGTGAAAAGACAACTTGCTGCGATGGTCGACTGGTCAAGGGAGCTTTCTTCTTGTGCCCTGTGTAGTATTCGGGTTGCTCGCTTGATATAAAATTTCAAGACAGGTTCGTTCGGGGTTAATTATTTCCCCAAGTTTATTTCCGCCAAAGCATCTGTAACAGAAAAAAAAGTCCAATCAGCAAATCTTGCGCGTGGTTGTTCTCGAAACCATGGACGCCCGCTCTGAGCGAGTCCACCATTGCCAGTCGATTTCTCAACGGGTAAATCCTTCCCTAAAGCGAAACAGCTGTTGAACCCACAGAAGTCTCCAAACTACCCGGTTGGTACCTTTCTGCTGACACATCTGATCCAAAGTACCACTGGGTATCGGAACCGGCACGCCCCTCCGCTATAAAGTAGTGTACACAGTAAAACCTCTTGCCTTCTTGGACTATCCAGCCTTTCTAGCGGTTCCACCTCCACGCGGGATCTTGTCACCTCTTGCGGATCTACACTGGCTTTTAGACGCTAATAAGAGAAGGACAGTGTTCAAACTCTTTCCCCTGTCAACAACCTTCCCTTCTTTGTCCAGCGGAGTGAGACCGAGCCAGGTGGATAGGACATCCAGAGTTCTTCGACGACGTCCACTTCTCGCAGTTCGTTTAGACTGCTGTTGGTTTCGATCCACCCCAAGTCTTCAACGGCCCTGTCTCCCGGCTCGGTAAAAAATACTCCCCTGACCTTGTACATTTTGTCAGACACCAGTATACTACTACCTTGAGCTTCCCACGGTTTTCTCTAGTCTTTTTCTGTTACTTTTGGTTTGGACGTTTATGCGATCAAGTCCAACAAATCGACAAGCCAAGCAGCCCAAACCGACCACCGAAAATCAAACATCAGCCCACTACCTCCTTCCCCCTTCTTATTTGATCGCCTGTTTGGTGACCGGCTCAAGCGTGGCCCAAGAAGTGTCTTTCGAGTGGGGTCTGACTGTATCTGAAAGCCCTTGAACCCTCACACGAACATGCTGATCAGGCGAAGGGATTGTTGAGACGGGTCACAAATCAGACGGAGGCCAAATCAGGGACACAACACAGAGTGAAAACCACACGCAGAATGCAAGTCAAGAGAACAGACAAAGTCATGGTCGACCAAAGGAACACGATTTCTTCGGACGCCAGCACAAGTACTGGTGCCGTCACCGAGGCTGCGAGAGCTCGCCAAACCCGCCCTGCCTCACAACCTTCTAACCCTTCTGGAACCAGTACCAGTACCAACGGAGTATCATTGAGCGCCGGTGGCTCTAGAAACTCCCCCGAAATGTACGAAGATGACTCGCTGGACCTATCCCAGCACGATCATGCCTCTCCTTCCGAAAGCGTAAAGTCCTCGGCCCACGGCCCGTTAAAATCAGAATCCGAAGACACACCCGGTGACGCAACCGGGCATGCCTCGTCCGAACCCCCGACTCTGCCGGTACAGAAACGCCGCAGAGTCACGAGAGCCTGCGATGAGTGCCGCAGGAAGAAGATCAAGTGCGACGGCAAGCAGCCATGCTCACACTGTTCAATCTATAGCTATGGTAACACAGACACCGCTTCTAGCTCTCCACGATGTTTCTGGCCGACCCCTGCTGACGAGACTCCCAGACTGTACATATGACAAGCCGTCTAACCGACGCAGAAATCCTGCGCCACAGTACATTGAGGCACTCGAGAGCCGACTTCAGCGTGCCGAGTCTTTGCTGCGCAAGTTCGTCCCGGACATTGACCTGGCCGACCCTAACCTCGACCCGGCAATCCAGCAAGAGTTTCGGGCTAGGGAACAGGCAAGAGCGCGGGCTGCCAAACTGAAAGGCGAAGCCGCCCCAAAAGAACCCGAGGCCCAGGATGCACAAATCATGTCCATGATCGATGCAATTGGGCAACTCGACATGAAGGAGGACGGCGAGTGCGACTTTCGCGGCATCTCTTCCGGCGCTGTTTTCTTCGGACGCATGAAGGAGCACTTCAAGGGCCTACTAAGCAACGAACACAGCATTCCGTTTCTATTCCGAAAAGCTGAGAAGACCGGCCTCTTCAGTCTCAATTCTCCCCAAACCACGGCTGGATCACCGTGGGAAGCGTCATCTGTACCAAATGTCTACGAACTACCCCCCCTAACTAAGGTCCAAACTCTGTGCTATTACGCATTCAGTTGCGCTACTTGCCTTCTCCGGGTTGTGCACAAGCCGACGTTCTACGAATCGCTCGACAGGTTATACGAGAAACCCCAAGATAGTTGGGGAATCGAAGAACATAGATTTTTGGGTCTGTTGTATGCTGTCATGGCGCTCGGAACCATGTACAACATTGACGAGAACCCGGGAAATCCCACGACTCATCAGGCGGCAATGGAGGAAGGGTAAGTTAAATCATCTTCTGATTCATCGTCGGGTTACCAGATATGTCTGACAAGATTTTGACAGGATCAAATATTACACATCTGCACGATTGCTACTGCAAGACATCGCTGAATGCCGAGACATGACCTCGCTCCAGGGGCTTGTCTTCATGATTCTCTTCTTACAAGCTTCATCGAATATGAGCGCCTGTTATGCTTTCTTGGGAATCGCCTTGCGCTCTTGTATACGCATGGGGCTTCATCGTCACTTGCGGCATGCCAGGCTTACCCCTATCGAAGAACAAACCAGGCGGAGGGTGTTCCACGTAGTGCGACAGATCGATATATACGTTTCAGCTATTCTTGGGTTCCCAGTTTTACTCCACGCCGACGATATCGACCAACCACTGCCGACGGAGGTGGACGACAAGTATATCACAAAAGATGCGATACTCACGCCGGATCCGGACGAACGCCCATCCTTTCTCCAGGCATTCAATGCCCATCATAGGCTGATGGGTATTTTGGCCCGACTTATCAAGTTCATTTATCCAGTCAAGGGCGTGGAAGATTGTGCTCTGAAAAGCGATAACGAAATGGCCACCTACACTATCAGTTATGCGCGAATCAAAGAGATTGAGCGACAACTACACGAGTGGTTTGACCAATTACCGCGGTATTGGCGGCCTGGTCCCGACGACGACGATATAGAGGTGATTCGGTAGGTGGACAATTTCCAACAAGGGAAGTGCACGGGTGGCTTACTAACTCGGTATCATAACAGTGTTCGAACCCTCTTGCGCTTCGCATATGGCCACGTGCAAATGATGCTGTACAGGCCGTTCTTGCATTATGTCTCCGCTCGCATGACAGCAGGCAAGAGAATCGACGACCGATACTACAACTGTGCTGCCGCTGGGATCAGTGTGTCTCGCAACATTGTCCACATTGGCTTGGAGATTCAGAAACAATCCCACCTGATCGGGCCGTACTGGTTCCTTCTTTATACGCAGTTCTTCGCAATCCTCTCTCTGGTCTACTACGTTCTAGAAAATCCAGACAAGACAGGGTCCGCCGAGATCCTTGCGGATGCCAAAGCCGGTAGGGATGTGATAGCTAATCTGACCCAGAGAAGCTTGGCGGCAGATCGGGTAACAACCGCCTTGAACGTAAGTACATCTACTCCTAGCAAGTTGTCATGAACCCCTTTTATTGATGACTTGTCCCTAGACACTCTTCGACCAACTGCCAGAGCAACTCAAGAACGGTACTCACCGACCTGCACCAACAAAGAAGAGGTCATACGCCCCTGGATCCAAGGCGGGCAGCAACTCCATCTCTAGCCATGCTCAGGCTATACTACACGATACCTTGCCTCAGCGGAGATCCGATGAAATTGTCCGTCCACAAAGCGGCCCCGTTCGAAGAGAGACCCATCACCGCCATCCCCAGCGAACAACCTCATTCGACACTGTGGCACTTCACCAACCTGGCATGCCTGGTCACCACTTTGCGACGCAGGTTACGGCTTTTCAAGACCTGCTGCCACTAGACATGAGCAGTATGACGGGCTCTGACACAAGCTCGAACCCTGGAGCGCCGCCAGTCATGCACAGACAACAGCATCATCGCCAACAGAGCGGCTTCCAACAAGCCCAAACACCTACAACCGGGGCGCTCTATAAGCTGGACGCCATGATGTTTCCCTCTGGGGACCCTTTCGCCTATCCCACGCCATTGCTCGACCAAACAGGAGGAGGGGGGCATCACGCAGTATCTGGCCAGCCACCGCCACCCATCTCCGCCGGATCTGTGGGACCAACGCCCGGGGCCGCCGGACCAGATAACATGCAGCTTTACATGTCCGGCTTCTACGACGACGGCAGTATTGAAGGACAAGTACTGGGCCCAGTAGCGCCCTACCTGATGCAACACGGCGGGCCCGAGCCGCCGCACGCTGGGGTTTTGGATCCTGCAGCGCAAATGTCCTACACAACAATGCTGAACTTGCAACTCCAGCATCAACAACGGCAACAGCAGCAACAGCAGCAACAGCAACACGGGCAAGATGGAAGACCGGGGTCGGGACCAGGGCGGGGACAACAACAACATCCGAGTATGCATCAGCGACATGCAAATCAATCACATCAACATCAGCACCCGGGACTTCATCATCAGCAGCGACACCAGCAGAGCGATATGATGGAGGGAATTTTTAGGGGCGAATGGGAGGATATCCTTGGGGGTGGAGGGGCGCCGCCAGGGGCTGGGGGATACCGATGATTTAAACACAAGGAACATAGGGGCGGCTTGGTCGGTGGACGACATGAATGAAGAATTGGGCTACGTCCAGGATTTTAACTTGGTGATAACTTGGCTGCGTTGAACAGACCAGCAGAGCTTCCGCCACTGAGTTCCAATCAGGCATTCTTATCAGAAAAACAAACCACCAACTTGGCAAAATCACGAAATTTATCACAAATCTGAAGAGATGGAGAGCATGGCAATCATGCAGATATCGCCTATGCCATTTGGGATGAAGAAGAAAATCAGCTTGTGGATGCAAGCTAGATGGTATCAAGAGGGGAGCAACAGAGCCCCAGCGGTATCACCACCGAGCGAAATGGATAGATCTGATCTTCTCCAGTCTACTTTGAAATCAATTCACTAGGCGGGATCGTGGAGCACGCTAGCACCAAGACGATGGGGCCAGAACAACAGCGGACTTTCACGGCGCCGAAAGAAGAGCGGCAGAGTCATAGGGGGGATAGAACGGGGACGGGAATAGAGGATTACGAAGGAGGAAGGACGAGAGACGGCATGAAAAACTATTCAGTCCGCCATGCGTGAATGATAGGCACAGCCTAGTACAATGGCGGTGAGGATGCGGTTCTGATACCCGGCTTCTCATATCAGCATAATACAGTCGAAGGGATTTCGATCACTTCAAAGTTTCCTCACGGAGTTCTTTAGGTACCGGTTCGTATCTGGAGAGTTTGCATGGGAGTCATGAGTAAGGAACAGGAATACAAACAGAAAATATAAATACCTAATTACAATTATCGTATTCTCGATCATTCAACTCAAAATGGCGCTGTTTAGTCTCTCTTGAATCCGACGTTACCCACAACACCCCGTCACATAAACCAATTCCTTCCCCAGTGGCTTGCCGCTTGCTATCTCGTTGACTAGAGGTAAAGAATACTATGCTACACTATGCTCTATCCGCTTTTAACAACCCGAAACGATAACGGGGATTCATGATTTCCATGCCATAAAAAGCGGAAGGGTTAGGGTTGAAGCGCTTCAACAGGCGTTGATATCGCCTGATGGAAGCGAGCAAGATCTCGAGACATCAGGATGACCGACTTTCACGTAATTGGAGCATTAATATGTTAGCTTTGATGTCTTGGGCTTCCACACTTTCAAGGTCAGATTTGAACAATTTCTGCTATGCATTCATATTTGGGGAGCATTCTGATGCCCTACCATAGACTGCTGACTACACCAACCACTATCTGGATAACCCCACTTCTCCGCATCGAGAGTGCAACGAGTGAACAAGTGTCGGTCGGACCTTCTCCGAGAGTCATTCCTCTCTCCATCGACAACTTCATTTTCGAGTTCATCCGCAATCTTACAGTAGCTTGTCCACCTCGACCGGGCCCACACCCCCAAGTGCAAGAAGTTCAGCTTATCATCATCATCATCATCATCATCATCATCATCATAGTCAACAACAGGGACCGACATATTAGCAAACCGCTTAGCCCATCATGACCAACTCAGGTCAAGAACATGAAATTCATTACAATCTCGTCGAGGACGATGAATTCGATATTGTGTTTGTTCCACCTTTCCTTCGAATCTACACTTTGTAGTCTTTTTTCCATTTGTCGCCCCATATCTCCCTCCTCCCGCTCGTCCGCATCTCTGTCAATTTGTCAAGTGTCCCATCCATCCTCACATGACTGCATTCGTCTCACCCACCACGCCCCTTACCCATTGACAGAATAAGTCGAGATCAGCTCATCTACATGAACTGACCACTACACTCCAGGAACATCGTAGTTGAAGACGTGGATGGAATCCATGGCGCTGGCGCAGCACCATCCGTGTCCGTTGGTGTGGGAATAAAGTCTCCAATTCCTTCTCAATCACGCATTCCAGGGCGCCCTCTCTCCCAAAAGTGGCTTCATGAGAAGCTTGGAAAGTACCCAGGTAAACTTGACTAGCCCCTTCACTTCATTATAGGTGTTGATTACCCTCTCTTGCACAGCCAAAACACATGTACAAAAGGTGATCGAGGAGCTTGATGCGCCTAAGAGCGGTCTCATTTACCTCCGAGGCTTCGATGAACCACTCTATCCATACTCGGACCAGGGGCCACCGTTTCGGCAACAACGACAGTATGTTTTGATAGTTGTCTGCCCCCAAAACACGCCAGAAGAACACAAACCTCTAATTGCCACACTTTACCAGTTTCTTCTACCTCAGCGGCGCCGACTTCCCCGGTTGCGCAGTCACCTACGACATCCCCCGCCAGGAGCTGATCCTTTGGATCCGCCGTAACGACCCACGCCTATCCCTATGGTACGGCACCACCCCCTCCATCGACGAATCCAAATCCAAATCCGACGTCTCCGACGTCCGCTACATTGACGGCCTCACCGCGTACCTCCATGCCGTCCTGACTCCCGAAACCGGCGGCGGCGGACCTCTTTACGTCCTCTCCCCCGACCAGCTTCCCAAACTCTCGCCCTCGCCACCGCAATACAGCTTCTTCAAGGGCCTCCATGGAACCGGATCTAGAGGACTAAAAATCGACACTACCTCCCTCCTCCCCGCCATCGAAGCCGCGCGCGTGATCAAAACCCCGCACGAAATCTCTCGCATCCGGCGCGCCGTGGGCCTCACCTCGCTCGCGCACCGCATGGTCCTTCAACGGATCAAGCACCTCACTAACGAGCGCGAAGCACACGCCGTCTTCGAAGGGTTCTGCATCTCGCAGGGCGCACCGCACCAATCGTACGCGGTCATCGCCGCTTCGGGCCCCAACGCTAGCACGCTGCACTACGACGCCAACGACGAGCCGCTGGAGGGGAGGCAGACCATGTTGTTGGACGCGGGCTGTGAGTGGGGGTGTTATGCTAGTGATGTGACGAGGACGTTTCCGTTGAACGGAAAGTGGACAAAGGAGGGGGAGGAGATATACAAGGTGGTGGAGAGGATGCAGAGGGAGTGTATTGATGCTATCAGACCCGGGAGGTTGTACTACAAGCTGCATTTGGTGGCGTGTTTGATTGCGGTTGAGGAGTTGATGAAACTGGGGATTTTGTATAACGGGACGAGGTCAGAGATTTTGGCGAGGGGGACGGTAGCGGCGTTTTTCCCGCATGGGTTGGGGCATCATGTGGGACTGGAGGTGCATGATGTTAGTGGAAGGGAGAGGCTGTTGTTGACTGGATCTACCGTGTCTTCTTCTTCAGGTTTGAACAGTCAAAGAGTTCCGGGGTTTCAAGAACCAAGAAGGCGCATGAAGAGGGAACAAGTCACCCCCGAGGACTTGGCGGCCATGTATCGCGAGGCGATGATGGATAGGGATGACGTTGAGCAGAACGTCGTCGGGCCTCCACCTTACAAGGGGAGGCAAAGACTCAGGGAAAATATGGTCGTCACCATTGAGCCTGGAATGTTCGTATATTTTCCTTCCCTTTTCCCCCTTCTTCTTTTTCTCCTCCCCCAACTCTTCTCTCTTTTTTCTTTCTTCAGAAGCTTCCAGCAAGACTAACTCTCCAACCCAAAGTTACTTCCACCGCCCCTACATCCAATCCTTCTTCCTCTCCAACCCCGACCACGCAAAGTACATCAACACCAAGGTACTAGACAAGTACTGGGACATTGGCGGCGTGCGCATCGAGGACTGCATCCTGGTCACCAAGGACGGGTACGAGAACCTGACGACGGCGCCCAAGGGTAAGGAGGCATTGAAGATCATTAATGCGGGGATCCCTGGGTTTGGCGGTGATGGTCAGGCTGGCGGTGGGAGCTCGTAGGTAGGCGCGGACGGATTGTGTGTTTGTGTGTGTGTGTTTGTGTGTGTGTGTTTGTGTGTGTGTCAGAGAGGGGGAGAAAGAGAGGGAGAAAGAGGGGGGGGGGGGGGCCTTCTTCTATGTGGTTGGTTGCCAGGCATGGCATTGCTGTGGCAAATTGAATTTTTCATTTACATCTTTTTTCCATCTTTGTTTTCTCACAGACAGACTCCGATTGACTAGTAGTGTCAGCTTTCACAAAATGAATGAAAGGACGTCTCACAGAAACCTTTCCCAATTACTGAAATCAAGACTGCAGATGTAATTTTGTACTAATCCAGCCTTTTTGCATCTCTCGAGTTGTATGCATATTCTTTGGTTTGTTTACTTCCAGGCAAAATGTTTCGACATTGGCGCGTACCCCTGGCTTCGACCTGGAGGCACCCTGGCCAATTTCTTTAAACCCCGGCTAACTCCAGCCTACCTTGACCTTATCCCGGATGAAGATCGCTAACTTAACTAGTGTAAATGTCTCTAACGTCAGACAGATGACGACATGTGATGAGTAGGTACTTAAGTGACTATACCTTTCCCTGGGGCATGTGATCATTGGAAGAAAGGAAGAGTGATGGCTGAAACGCCCTCTCTAAGATTCGAGTGAGATTTTAGGGGGCTTAGGTACAATGAGAGCTCATTAGATACTGTAGTTTCGTGGTTGTGGCCGTGGTTGAGGATCATCCTCAGTTCGTAGTAAGTATTCCATGTGTGAATTGCTTCAGTTTGTATCTATAGCTACTTGTACATACAGGTAGAGAAGAAGGAGGAAACGGGGGTACCTTACTTAGTCGGGGATAGAAACGTAGGTATCAGAAGGGGGGATATAAAGGTATAATAAGTACATATAACAGCAACTTGCAAATAATAGTGATACCCACCCTCTTTTCACGAAGCCAACATTTCATAAAACTTGACCAGGCAAAAAAAGAAATAAAGATCATACTTGCAATGCAAATAAACTGGTATGACAAAGGAAAAAAAAACAACACAGAGTGTTGAAGTCTTGATGCAACAAACAAACAAACAAACAAACAAGGTGATGGTGATGGTGATGATGATGATGATGATGTCTGTTACTCGAGCCCAACCCAAAATCCCTTGCAAGGAAACAACCCGAAGTTTGCTCCCTTGCGCCCTTAATGCCTCCCATTTGCCGTTGTTTGTTGCACGCAATGCATCATAGTTTTGTTTAAACCTTTTCCTTTCCCTCCCTCCTTTTTCCCCCTTCGTCTTCCCTTCTCTCCCTTCCTTCCTTCCTTCTTCTTCTTTCTCTATTGTATCAAAGCAGATGTTGCCGCCCGTCCGTCTATGGTTGAAGTAACTCCGTCGCCGCCGCCTTCTATTTGATCCTTTGGTATCCAATTTCTAAAGAGTTATATCGTAGTTATAAAGTTTGGGTGTGTACATGCTTGTGGTGTGGTTTCTTTCTCACGCCTCTAAAGAGAGAGAGGAAATAAATCCATTTAGAAGCGAGAGATACCACGGCCAAAGACCCAGGACACGAGCCAGTAGATGGGCACGAGGAACCTGTTCCTCCAGGACATGGACTTGGCCAGGTAAGCGGAGCGCCAGAGGACCCAAGCGGCCCAGCCACGGAGCTCGTCGCGGGGGCCCTGGTGGATGGCCTTCCAGCTGCCAAGGTAGGTCATGACACCCCAGTTGCGGAACTTGAAGCCGGGAGCGTCCTTGACGTCGATGACACCTTCGTTGGCCTTGTTGAGGACCTTGGCGAGGTAGGTGGCCTGCTGGGCGGCAACCTGAGCGGTCTTGGGGAGAGTGCGCTGGCTCTCGATGACGGCGGCGTCACCGAGGACGAAGACGTCACGGAGGAGGCTGTTGCTGGAGGAGGTGGGGACGATCTCGGAGCCCTTGGCGGCATCGGTGGTCTGGGTCTCGATGCGAACACGGAAGTGCTCGTCAACGAGGATGCCACCAGTGCGGGCATCAGTGGCGAGCTTGGCCTTGGGGCGGCGGGCCTCGGCGCGGTCCTCGGGGGAGATGGGAACGGCAAAGTCCTTGGAGGCGAGCTGCTTGATGAGGGGGTTGGCCATAAGACCGGTGGACCAGACGACGAGACCGGCACCGACCTCCTTGTCGCCGTACTGCTTGATCTTGAGCTTCAGCTCACCGTACTCGGAGCCGAGCTTGCCATCGGCAGGGCGGACGCGCTCGATGTTGTGTTGGGTGCGGATCTCAATCTTTTGACGCTTGAAAGCATCCATGGCATATTTGGAGAGAGCCTGGTCAAACATGGGAAGAACCTTGGGCGAGACATCGTAGACGGTGATGCGGACGAACTTGAGGAGGTCCGGGTACATCTTGGAAAGATCGTCGTGGATGAGATCGTGCAGCTCGGAAGCGTACTCGATACCGGTAGGGCCACCGCCGACAATGGCGAAGTGGAGGAGGTTGGCGCGGTCCTCATCGGTGAGGTTGTCAACACCCTTGGGGTAGGCGCACAGCTCGAAGAGGGAAAGAACCCTCAAGCGGATGCGGCGGGCATCACCAACGTCGCGAAGGAAGTTGGCGTGCTCACGGACGCCCTCGATGCCGAAGGTCTGGGAGTAGGCACCGCAAGCAATGACAAGCTTGTCATAGGGAACGTCGAAGAGAGCGCCCCTGGCAGAGGCCTGGTTGAGCTGGCCGCCCTGGCCGATGGGGACAACAGCCTTACTGGCAGAATCGGCGTTGGCGTTGGCCTCGACGCGGATGGTCTTGTTGGCGAAGTCGATGTCCTGGGCCCAACCCTGGTGGAAGCCGATGCCGTAGTCCAGGCGGCGGATGGGCTCCAAAACGGTACGGAACTCGAGAGTACCGACGGCAGTAGAGGCGAGAAGGGGGGTAAAGACGAAGTAGGAGCGCGGGGAGATGAAAATGCGCTCATACTTCTCGGGATCGAGGTCCTTGGCGAAGGAATAGCCCGCCCAGCCGGAGCCCAGGATGACGACCCGCTCCTTTCTGTCTTTGTCTATAAGGAATGATAGTCAGCAATGACGCTCTCTTGGCGAGGTGGGACGACGAGGTGGTTTCAGAAGGGAAACGTGCTGTTGAACTTCACGGTGGAAAAATTTCTCGCCGTCAAGGCCAGCGGTGCTGACCGGGTGGACACCTGGAGGGAAGAGGAAGAGGTCCTCGCGAAGCGTGTAATGGAAGCCATCCTGAGACTTTAACCGGCTGGCGTTGATGCTATTATGGTGTTCGAGTAGGAGTCAATAAGCTCTCCATTACCGATGATCAAGAAAAAAAAAGACTTTTTGGACCGCGTCCAGTGGGCGAATCGCGATTTTTATTCCATGTGGCCGTTAGTTGCGCTATCAAGGTTCAATACCCTCGGCGGCGGGTCGGCCCTAGCTAACAAGGTAGACGCCGGTATATTGCCCTCCTCCTCCCAACCTGGAGGCCGGGATCCATAGTATCCACGGGGTGTCCATGATGACGGATACATACGGGAACCTGTTGGGGGGGGGGACCTCCGTCCTGCACGCCAATTACATTGTTGGATTTTGTGATGTCACCGAGAATCATTGAGTCGGTCTGAGAAGCCAATTGCACCCATTGGTGAGCTGGTCGATGGGAAGAAAGGAGAGAGAGGTACAGGGACTGGGTACGATTCCGAGGCAGCCGGCTTATTTTTTTTAATATTTATTTTTTCGGTCAGAAATGGTATCGAGGTATATCTTTTTTTCTCATTTGCTGGAAATGTCCTCATCTAAGACGCAGTGGGCCGTCTGCCTCTGGTTATGGAAATTTTGGAAGATAACTGCACCCGACACAGGCCGATAACAACAGACTCGCGACGAAGTGGAGGCATTACAATCGAGAGGAAAACTTTGTAGTGTAGTGTTAGAAAAAAAGGGTGAAAGGGTCGTCCGCGATTTGACCCGTTCATTCGTCGAGAGGGTGGTGTGGTGGAGGTCTCGTGGATGTCACAGACCACCAGCAAAGGAAATCATGACCGGGAGAGCCCGGCACCCCGGATACAATTTGGATTGATTGTCTATCAAAAACCAGAGATGAAGTTGAAGTTGGGAGGTTTTCAACATGAGTCGCGGAGCGTCCGTGCGCCAGTTTTGGTAAGTTCTGGCATCTACGGTGGCTTGAGCACTCATCTTGGCATTCATTAACCAATGGTGAAGAGCCCAGCACCTCCCGGGACAAGTGGCGGTCGGATTGCGGCTGGACTGGAGCGGCTCCCGGTCCGGAGATTTGAGGCTCCTATGTATGCGCCAACATCGAGGCGTTTCGTCCGGAAGGCCTAGTACGTACCATCGTTCCGGCGAGGATCCCAAATGCCCTGACTTGGATCGTTGGACCCGGAGCCAAATTTAGACTTTTTGGGTTTGGGGACCTGTCAGATCGTGAATGAAGTCAACATCAGGCCATGCCAATGTACACTGTCGCATTAACGATCCCGTCGGCGCGGCAATGGGATCATGGCTATGTGAGGAGGTATGGGTGAATGGTGATTGTGCGTGGGCATCACTCAAACCCGATATATCAAGATGGCGATATCCCGAATTACCATATGAACCGACATAGTGTATGTTGTACAATACATTTTTGTCTCTTGATGAATTTGGCAACCGAACCACGCAACCGCCCAGTCAGCGACAACCAGAAACAAGGATAGTGTAACCCCCCAAATCCGGTGGATCTCCGCCCTTCTCTCCCTTCCTCCGTCTCGGCACTCTGTTCAATGCCGCCAAAGGCCGACCGCGCGAATCACGTCACTATTGGTCCGTTCCAATTGTGTTGTCCATGTACCCGAAATTCAGTCTTCCAGAAGCCCGCAAGATCCGAAGACAGAGATGCCATGTCAGCACCCAATCTTGACTATGGAGTTCCGATCATATAATTGTGAACGGTTCCCCGATTGTCGATATTTCTCCTTTGTTTTCAGATCATGAATGACGGCAACCTTGACTCGGGTCAAACACGGTTGCGCTTACAAACAACATCACTACCGACAACCCCTAGTTTATCGTTTGTTTTGTTTTGTTTGTTTGTTTGTTTGTTTGTTTGTTTGTTTGTTTGTTTGTTTGTTTGTTTGTTTGTTTGTAGAAA